CTGAGCCTGGAACGACGGTTTGCACAAGTGCCGGGACGAAGATCATGCAAGGACACCCGGTATGTATGTACTTTTACAATAATTCTTTAAATTATCGAAGAAATTACGTTTTGTTTGAATTTCGCTTATTTTGCCTGTAAATTCTTCACACTTTGTGTGATGTTAAGTCAAAGTTCACACAAGGATAATTTTAAATGTTGAGGTAATGGATTATCAATTAGATTTGAGAAATTGATAATATTCGGATCGATGAATAAAATGTTATTTCGATTTAGAATTATTATTTGATAAAATTTCGATGAAAGTTGGGGGAAGATAATTGATTAAGATATTTTATCAGACACGTGTAATGCAATAGATGATCATGGGTGGTAAGGATTGGCAATTTTTCAGTGATATTTTTGAAAAATATAATAATAGATCAGAATTCTTTGGGGGATGATCAAAAAATGGCGAAGAAATGAATAAGCCAAGTTAAGCCTGTTTGGAGGAAGAATTCGATTAGCAAACAATGACACAATGCACGATTGTGATGGCACGTGTTCATCGCGGTTTTAATTTCTCGAATGGCAAGTTTGTTTTGTAACAGATGTACAAATGAACTAGTTACATAGAAGGTATTAGAAGATATATGCATCGAGTTTTAAGTGTATATAAATCGACTGATAAAAAAAAAGTTGAAATAAATTAATATTGATGCTTATCTAATCTTTAAGAGGAAAATTACTGATAAATCTCTAACATTGCTTTAAAATAAAATGAAAGAGATATAAAAAAGTGATTAATATAACGTAATACTATTATATAAAAATTATTACATTTAAAGAAAAGGATAGAAAAAGAATAATTTAAAAGATAGAAAAAAATTTATACATTCAAAAAATTTTCTAGAAAATAATGCACATTTTTTTATATTTTGAAATTTAAATTTTCCAATTAAATTATCCTTGATCTATTAAAAAATTTTAATCTCTATTAGAATCCATAACATTCATTAAGAATATTTTGAACTGAATCATTTCCACATAAATTAACAAATACCTTACAATCATATACCCTCATTTTAACTCAAGGTTATATCTTTTTCTAGGATTGGCGTTCGGCAGTTGCTGTAACGTGTAGCTTTATAATTATTCTCGTGGCAGTGGTATGGACCGCGAGAAAGACTTCGTATAAACGAAAGGAATCCAGAACAAATGAAACGGAGGAATTAGAAGAATCAGAGAAGATTGAAAAAAATGTGAATTGTGAAAGTGATAATGTAAATCACGATAATATAAATGACGATGAGAAAGATTCCAATGATGGCACGATTCCCGAATTATCAAATCCAAACTGGGTAAAGGTGGGCCAGATTCAAGAATTATACATGTATCCTCTGAAATCTGGGCGTGGAAAGACTTTGAGGGAATGTGACTTCACCGAATACGGAATTAGTTTAGAAGACAAGGGTAGATTCATCCTTAGAGACAGGTAATCAGACTTTTTATATCTATCATTCCTCTTTCTTCTATTTCATGATATATATTTAATTTCATTTTTTATTTTTGAAAAAATAAATTTTCTAGTAGTTTGTTAATTTATCTTACAAATATATTTTCATTTTAATCTTAATATTAGATCAGTCAAAAATAATAATCACAATTCTCGTTTTATTTTACATATATTAAGATAATTCGTTTTAACATTGGCTGTCCCTTTCTCATACCAGAAAGAGATATCCAAGAGACAAAGATATCACCAAATCACGTACGTATACGATCTTATCTATTCTGTTCAGTAAATGAATCATATTATATAAACAAACGAAAGCTATTTTTTTGTAGTAAATACTTTATAAAATTAATATGAATTATTAAGACTATTCTTCGTTCTTAAACATAAGATTCATTTTATCTTACGTATCTCCATTCTAACTCAATAATTAAGATCATTTCCATCTTAATCAACTCAATTAACATATACACATTTTTAATAAAAATTAAAGAAACACGAATTTTTTCAATTATTTCATAAAACATTTATTTTTATGTCACGAACCACTGTCAAATTTCCTCCACATCAACCCATACACATTTCGCTTAATTTCACTTAAAAATAAAATTTCATTCTAATATTAATCTTGTTTACAAAAGATCTGAATTTCAATTTTAATAAATTCACAATTTAACAAGAACCCAACGCCTCTATCCCAAAGGAACCAAAGATGAATCCCCATGCTGTTCATCAGAATGTTTCTAGTGTACAACGAGGAAACTGGCCGATTCCAGACCGGGAGGCAATACCCAACCTTGATCCTGATAAGTTTATCGGCGGTGGACGAGACCAAGGTGAAGCTGGAGGCCGTCGGGATGCCCAGCGTGATTTTCGAGGTTCCAAATTCATCGGAGAATGCTTCTGAAGCCGTTCAATGCACCATGTGGTGGGGAGAGCCGGTGAAGTGTATCGATTGTGGCACAGAACCCGCCGAATGGTTATCAAGGTCTCCATTTGTATCTTCTTATTCGATCAATTGTACATTCATTCTTTTTCCTTTTAATGAGCCTGTAATTTGAAATTGGATTATATAATTTAACTCTATCTATTTTCGGAATTAATAAGAACGAGAGTCAATTGCCATTCTTGATATTTGATTGATATGAGTATTTTTGAAAAAATTATTTAATTTAAGATATAATTATTATATAATTATACATATTGTTTTATATATTTATTTCCTGTGGAAGAGGAAAATGATATACAGAACAAAATATAAGATCATTGTCTTCATTATTTGAAAAATATAAGATATAGAATGTTCATTAATAAAATTTACATTTTCTTCAGGTTTCTGACTGGAACCACTTCTGGCCTTCGATTAGGATGCACAATGATGGACAAAAGGAATCTCTTCGTGGAGCCGTGGAAAAAATTCACCCAAGTGTATCAAAAACTCAGGAACAAAGACACTGTAATTCCTTTTATTTGATTCTTCTTTTTTCCATTTTGGCGCAATTATTTTGATGATCGAACAAATGTTTTCCAGGGATTGTTCAGCGATTTAACCAGTTATATGTTAATGACCACGCGATCTGTTGAAAAATTGAACGAAAAATTAGAAAGGCCAGTTCCTACTCTACAATTTCGTCCAAATATTTTGGTTTCCACGCAACAACCGTTCGAGGAGGATAATTGGGAATGGATAAAAATTGGGGAACGCGTCGTGATTAGAAATGTCAAACCATGTTCACGGTATAGTAAAAATATTTTCGATATCACAAAGATATATACATATATAATAATAATAGGTATAATTGAAACGAATAGATATGATTCTGAAGATCAAAACAAATATGAAAGTTGATATACAAAAGTATCGATTGATAATTTAATAAGATTTATTTAATAAGTTATGAGCAATTTAATAGTTAGTTTATATTTAAATTATAAACGTGTATTAAATAAAGCGAAATGGAGTCAAAACAAATCAATAATGTGATAAAGATAGACCTATCTCATTCTATCTATCTCATTTCATCTAATACAAGTTTTAAATTAGTTTAACTAAAATTAATAAATAAATTTTAATCGATTATTTATTATTAGTATTTGTATTTTGAAATTGATTTTTAGAAGATATATATTAATATCCTGTACATATATATACATTAAAATATATGTATATTTAAAAATATATTAATTTTTCAAATAAAAATCAAGATTAGAATTTTTTTAAAAATAGAAAGAATTAGAAATTATTTGAATAATATATCTTTTTATAGATGTAAATTCGTGGGTGTGAATCCAGAAAACGGAGTAATGGACAAGGAGGAACCATTAAAGACTTTGAAATCGTACGAAAATCTTATCCTTCCTAAATGACATAAAGAAATCGAATGTTATGACATCGATATCGAGTCATAGGAATTCTTTTATGGAATTAGTTTTTAACTTTTTTTAGTTTCAGAGAACAAACTGATCCAGAACGGGTCTCTCTCGAAGGAAAAGCGCCTGTTATGGGAATATACTGCGGATTATACATCCCTGGAAAAGTAAAAGTCGGGGATGAAGTTTTCGTTCATTCGTCCAGTGATTCAACAATAGTGGAATTGAATCATCGAGAAACAACAAGCTAGATAGAAAAATATTGAAAATTAACTCGCTTTGAATGGCCTTTCTTCATTCGAAAGTAGAAGTTTATGTAAAAAAAAAAAAAATAAAAAGACGTCAATATACGTTCACATTCAGAGAATAATTACCAGAAATAATATTTTGAGATGAGCAAATCAAATAAAGGATTCTTCGGATATTCATAAGACTTCGAGACAATATAATACTATATATTGCGCGATTTTTATGAGATTATCGTTTCAAGCTATATGTAATTGTTATGATACGTTATATACGTGTGATTGAAATAAGTGTGACCGGTTTAAGTATTTCTGGTGTTACATATTTTGAGACATGCTATACATATGTTGAAATACTGTTACATTAAATAAAATTTTGATTGTTATAAAAGTTTTATCGTATTATTTTTTATTAATTAACTAAAATAATTTTTCCAATATTATATTATATTAATTAATGAAAAACAATCATCTATCTCTATCATATATCAACTTCAATATTTGGAGAGATTGATGAATGAAAAAATATTTAAAAAAATGAAACAAAAAATATTAATTCTGAAATAATAAATAAAATTATTCTAAATTTTAAGAAATTAATTACATATATTGTATGTAAATCTTGAAATGTTCTTTCACGAATAATATCACGAAATCATAATAGTCCTCCCTCTTTTATTTAAAACAAATTTAAATTATTTATAACTCGATAAATAAACCTCATTCGACGTTTACATTAACCTTTCTGTTTTATTTTAATCTCTAAATCAATTCTCCAGAGATATCCCACGTATATGTATATATATATTAAACACTCTTAGAAGGGGAACGATCTTCTAGTTCCTCTCCTCCCACGATTCAAGCGATAGGGGTCGTTGGGAGGTGGGGAAATAAGTCGCGAGCAAGTTGTCCAGTCTTGTTGCAGATGATTGATAATCACAGTGGTCAGAGGCCTCATTAGATAAAGAGAAATGGCATAAGTGTAGGAAGATAAGTAATGCGTTCACGATCTTCATCTCTTTCAGTCGTGTGTATCTTCGAGGAGCGATACGTGCATGCAATATGTTAATCTATTCGTTACTCGCGTCAATAGTTTTTTTTTCTGGATCTTTAACAGTTTTCTGTAAGAATACAAATTCAAATGGTGAGAAGAACGATTTTTTTTTCTAAATCTTTACTTTTTACATTTCTCTCTCTTTAATATTTTTTTTGTATTTTCAATCATTTAAATTGTCTTATTAATAAATCGTTTCTCTTTTTAATTTAATGATGGTTTTCTGTCAGAATTCAAAGTGAAGTTGGCGAGCATCTTTATTTTTATATTTTTCTTTGGTTTTTATTTTTTATTCAATATTTTAAACTCTTAATTTTAAAAAATTATCTTTTAAAATTTGTGATGATTAAAAATGAATAAATAATGAGTTGAATTATATATATAATTTCAATTTCATATTTTGTTTTAATTCAACATTTTTCAATATTTTTAATTCAACTATACTTTTGTTTTTAAAGTTGACTTCTTTCTGTGATAATTTTTTGTAAAAATTTTAAATCAGATGATCTCCATTTTTACTTTGTTCTTTTTTTAATTCAATATTTCTCATTATTTTCAATTGAATAAACTATTATAAATTTTATAAAAAGTCTACACAAAAAAATAAAATATTTTAATTATTAGCACGTGTAAACTGTTTTGTTTCAAATTTCTTTGGAAATAAAATTAAATGAAAAATTTTATTTCTTGAAATGATGATTTTTATCTGTATTATAATATTTGTAATAATATAAATAATATAATATAAATATAATACATTGTTTATTGATTTTTATCTAATTTCAAGAAATTTTAAATAAAAAGGAACGCATATTGAAAAATTATTATTTAAAAGAACAGAGAAACATTCTGGAACTATTTCTTATGTAAATTTTGTGTTTAAAAAAAAAATAGAAATATGTACAGTATTTCAGAATACTCTGAGTCATATTAAGCCTCGGATTTCATCGGAAGAACAAGCTAATGCAGCAGCAGGTGTCGTTGAAAGATTATTGGGAACTGAACGTGCTAAAAATTTCGTAATGATGGTGAATCCTAATTTTACTTCTCCTGGAAAAGATTATTTTTTGGTAATTCGTATTTATAATACAATATAAATAGTATATACAAAAATAAGCTCTTGATTTAATTAAATATACATAATTCTAATATACATAATTTTTTAACTTTTTACATTTTTTGAAACGTAATAAGACTAACATTTTTCGTTCATATGAATCCAATAAATTTAATCAAATTTCTGGTAATATCATGATAAAAGATATCGTAATATCACTGATTAGAAAATAATATACAAAATATGCATATAAAAGAATTTTCGAATTCGAATTCACATGAATACATTATATTATTATAATGTTTTAATTAAGGAAGTATTTGAATCATTGATCATTAGTTTATCTTTCGTAATTTTTCGATTATTGAAAAAGATTTTCAAAATATAAACTCGAATGTATTAAAGATCTTTGCTATAAAATTCCAATTTTAAACAAAGGTATTTCCTAAAGTACAATTATAGAGATGTGATAAGGAGTTGAGAGGAAAGCTGTGAATAGGATTACCAGAAGAAATTCCTCAATGAAAGATTTTTCTTATTTTCATTATTACAAACATTTTTATTTCCAATTATATTGCTCATAATACATCATCTTCCTCATAGTTTTCATTCCTTATAATCTTGAGTTTAAATCTTGGATTAAGGGATCCTTAATTATGTTTTAAATACCTCATTTCTCTGAAATATTTAAAAAATAATAGAAAACATTAAAATTGATTCTAATACATGATTCGAGTTTAAATTTTTCTAGTATCTTCATTCCAATCTAGTGATCTATTATCACTTTGATCCAAAACAATGTTCAATCTCAAACAATCAGAATCTAAAGAAACTATTTTTAACTTTCTATAATAGTAACAATCGATAATCTTATCTTCAACCATCAGATAAAGAAAAATTCCATGGGTCAAGTCGAAATCCTTGGCACTTCTGGTGTGGCTACAACTTGGGGTCTACACTATTATCTCAAAACCTATTGCAACGTCCACGTTTCATGGGAAGGAAATCAAGTTGAACTTCCTGATACCTTACCTGATGTTCGTGTAAAAATCAGCTCTAATGATAGGTATCAATATAATCTGAAGTTAAAAATGCAAGAAATTTCTTCTAAATTCACGAATTGGACAGGTTTAGATATTATCAGAACGTGTGTACTTTGGGTTACACTTCTGCATGGTGGCAGTGGGAAGATTGGGAAAAAAATATCGATTGGATGGCTCTTAATGGAATCAATTTGGCGCTTGCTTTTACTGGACAAGAAGCTATCTGGGAGAAAGTCTATCTTCAATTGAATTTTACTATAGAGGAGATTAATGAACATTTTGGAGGGCCAGGATTTTTACCATGGTAATAGTTTTCAAAAATTATAACAGAGATTTGTGAGATAAACCAGTGAAGAGGGATTTTAATCTATATCCATTCTTTATCTATTCCTGAAAGGTTCAAAGTCACATTTTTGAATATCTTATAAATGATAACAATTGTATACAATAATTTTTTTTTTTACTTTAACAATATTTACAACTGAATAATCAATATTCAATTCATGGAATATATTAATTCCAATATATATCTGATTTATTAATTTGATTACAAAAATAAAAAAAAATTATATAATTAACAAAATAATTAAATACTAGAATAACATGAAATAAGAAATTATAATATGAAATATTGTATCATATTAGCAAATAGCATGTTAAAAAAAATAATTGGAATAAATGAAAAAATTTATATTCTTTAAATGTTCCTAAAAATATTCTTAATTTATTTTTTGATCAATTAAAATTTAATTCTATTAATAAAATTAGATCCAATTATATCATTAAAAATGCTATTTTTGAAATTGAATTTATTACTTAAATATATTCAATAAAGTTCTCATTGTAATTACATATTTAGGTCTAGAATGGGCAATATGCGAGGATTTGGAGGACCTTTAAACTCGAACTGGCACGAAAAATCGATTCGATTACAGCATCGAATTCTTGAGAGGATGAGGGCATTAGGAATCATACCTGTTCTGCCTGCTTTCGCGGGTCACGTGCCTAGAGCCTTCCTCAGGCTATTTCCTAAAGCTAATGTAACCAAAAGTGCGGTTTGGAATAACTTTTCAGATAAATATTGTTGGTAAGAAAATCAAAATAAATAGAAATTTATTCTATACGAGATGTTTTGATGAATAATGATCTACAAATTACATATTTACCACTATATTCTCTTTTATAATTATTGATGGCAATTAATTTAACATATTATTTTAATATGTTAATATTTTTTAGAAAATATTTGGTTAAAAATTTTCAGATCAAAATATGAGATAAATTATCACTTTTTCCTATTATAAGAAAACAAAGAAGTGAAGAGTGAATTTACTTATTTTATAATCTTTGAAATTAGATAATATTGATATAATAAAATTGATATGATTTATCAATTTAAGATTCATATCAATAATAAGATTATTGATATATGATATATATATATATATA